AGAATTGCAAATTTTCACCATCACTGGGATTTGAACTCTAGACCTGCCACTTGGGAGTTGACAACCTATCCACTTCATTAGGTCACCACACTCCTGTTATCTTTATTAATAATCAATTATCAATTCTAAATTTCTTATAAACATCTATCTGCATAACTATGTTAGCTTGAAATCCAAATATAATATTAAATAGGTTTGCAATATGATAGGCTAGACTAGATAAATTTTTAATAAATTAATAAATCATTTAATTAGCAATAAGTAAAAAAATTATTGATTAGTATTTATATTACCAAGATTAATATTTTTAATTTATTAAAATCTTGGTTCTTATTTTATATCTAATTAATGAATTAATAAAAAATTTGAAAAAATTATATCAATATTTGTAAATAAAAATTAAATATTATATATTATTAATTAAATTAATCTCTAAATAAAAGCAATTTTTAGATTTTGAAGCCAAAAATTTGATTATATTTATTATATTCTACTAATAAAATTATACTCAAATAAAAGCAACTTCTTTACTTTAGCTTGAAAAATTCATATTTTTTTGTAACATATTGGTTGCTTCTATTTGGTAATATACAGTACTAACTAGATTTAAATTAATTAATTTTGCAGAAATATATCTAGACATTATTAACATTATAAAATAAAATTTAAGATAAAAAAATTTTACAAGAAAACTAGTCTTAAATAAATTCTGAAAATTAAAAAAAATTAATAAAATGTAATTTATCCATGCTTATATATATTTATTGCTTCTGAACTTAGTAACATTAATCTAAAGGTTTTAATTCACTTATACAAAAAAAATATACAGAAAAAAAATAATATTAACAAAATATAAAAAAAAAAAATCATACAAAAAAAACAATATAAGAAAGAACTGAAAAAAGAAAAAACTGCTAATCTAATTTAAATTTTATTTTTCTATACTATTCAATTTATTTTGATTATATATTAACATTTTAATTGACTCTGAATTAAGATTTAACTAATAATTATTAATAATTCTTTTAGCTATACTAAATATCTAGATATAAAATATAATTTAGTTATTTTATAATAGCAATATTTCAAAAATCCTTTGTTTTCAATTTTTTGAATATATGTTAATTCTATTAACCAAAAAATAATTTTTTTTATATTATTATATTGTAGATATTTAGAAAATTAACTTTATTTTAATCATTTTTTTGAACAATGTCTATAATAACTAAACAATATTTTTTATAAAAAAAATTCATTAAGCTTCAAAATTTACTTACTACTTTAGATACTACTGAAGTTATTGAAATTGCAAAAATATCTCTTACTATTAATAAAACAGAAGAATATCTTGGTGTATTTGTTTTCTATTAAGTTAGAATATTAAATTGCTCTAAACAAGAACAGAAAAAAAGCAAATTAGAAAGATATTATATAAGTTTATCAAATTCATTAATAATTTGAGTATTATTGGTATTAAGAAAAGCATTAAAATTATTTATTTTTTTATTATAAAAAATGTTTGAAAATTCATCTGTTACTATATACTGCATATAAATTAAACTATAAATAGTTTTAATTTTATAATACAGTCAAGAAATTTACCAAATTAGAAAATTATATTCTAGAATAATTTACAAGTAGATCCTTAAATTTAATTGGCTCTTGTGTGCCTTTTATTTCTCAAAAGTCACATGTTCAAAAAAATTTTTTTTAATAATTATTAAAACCAAATAAGCTTTGAGTATATAGTTTCAAGACATCTAGTTTTCATCATTCTAAAGAATCTCTTATAGTAAACTCTTTAGATAGAAATAAAAAAGATACTAAAAATAGATATTTACTTTATATAAAATGTTTAGGTTCATTGTCAGTTAATTTAAGATTGCTTTAAAATTTTGTATCAATATTTTGAAGTTTTTAAGTTGATTTTATATATAGTAATGTTTATAATTATATAAGAGTATTGAAAACAGTTTGTGAAAAAACACAAGATATTCAAAGTAGATTTAGTTATAATTTAAAAATTAATGTATTTGTAACAACATGTTATATGTAACAACCTTGGATTAGCCAATAGTAGTTAGAGTTAGGGTTTGGGTTACATGAAGTTTTAATTATTTTTATTGATTATACTAATTGAGTTGTTACAAATAAGTGCATAACAAGTTGTTACAATTAGATTTGTTTATAATTTAATATATAAATTATGTTGTTTAATAATATTTAGAATGGTATTTTTTTTTGAGTTTTAGTTCTAATAACTGGTAGTGATGATCACTATGTAACATAAGTGAGTTATATCAAGTCATGTTGAGTTATGTCAAGTCATATTGAGTTACATTAAGTCAACAGCAGAAACTGTCTATATTACACAACTGATCCTTCATGCAGTGTGCAACATATAAATAAATTATTTTACAATATTGTTAGTACATATTCAGTTATTTTAAAATATTTATATGTTGCATACTGGGTAAAGGATAAGTTATATAATATCAATGGTTCCTCCTATGCATTAAGTCATGTTAAATGTATGCATTATTTGAATAAACAAAAGATAATGATCTAACTAGAATTCAGTAATAAGTGTTAGTATAATGAATCTAAAAATTTCACACTTATTAATATTGAAACATATAAAATAAGTTTATATTATACACTTATGCTTATGAATGCTGAAATTGTTGAACCTTTCATACTATACATATAATAATAGCTTGGTACAGAAGGAAAGTGGCTCTTTGTAAAACTATCATTCTGAACTTTACAATTATCATCTTGACAGTAAAGTAGAAAAGGCATTAGCAAAATTTTTATAAGAGTTAAAAATTGTGTTGTATAAGGTAATTTTGTGTTGTGCTTATTGTTAAGATTAGCAAATTTATAATTTAGACCATGTTTATTAACTTTATATATATAATAACAGCTTACTAGTAAAACCCTGCTGCCAAAAAACTACATTAACTTTATCATAACCAATTTGGCATTGAAGTAAGAAAGTAATTATGAAGACCCTTATAAGGTGAAAGGTTAACTAAAGGAAGCATATTTGCAAAGACTCTCTATAAAAACATTATTAAATCTGTCTTTGTATAATAATATACAACACATTTAAGTTTTTGGCATTTTGTTAGTAATAAATATGAACATAAAGGGTAAGTTAAGGTTATAGATTTTGTTTCTTGTACAGTTAGTAGATTTCTAATAAACAATATTATACAAATACAGAAAGTGAATTAGTATCAGAAGTTTAGCCAATTCAGAGCAGCTGTAATGATGTTTTAAATGAAAGTATCATCTTAGAGTTCAATAATCATAATGATGTTTCAAATGAAAGTATTATCTTAGAGTTCAATAATTATAATGATGTTTCAAATGAAAGTATTATCTTAGAGTCTAATAATCAAATTAACATTGGTAGATCTAATAACCAGATTAATGTTGGTAATACATTTTTTTCTTGAGATGTTGCAGAATCACATCTCAACAAGTATGCTAAGTACAATGGATTTTCTTTGCATCGTAAGCAAGTTGAAATAGATGCAGAAGAAAATGTTTGATGACAAACATTTGAATATAGTTTTTCTGAAAAGGCAGTTCATAATAAAGTTATTAATTTAATGCAGCATCATCAATGACCTTCAAGAAAAATTAATTGCTCCTAACATATTAATCTTACAAAACCAAAATCATCAACTAAGGTTGGTGTTACAAGTATATGTAGAGAACATAATCATCCTATGTTATGTGATGTAGAATTATATATTCCTAAATATTAAAAGTTAACAGATAGTATAATGGAGAACATTAAATTCTATGTTACTAAATGTAACATAAGAGCAAAACACATATATCCTTTACTAGTTGCTAAGTTTCCAGACCATGCTATATTAAAAAAGGATATTTATAATGCTATAAAAAAGTTCAAACCACCTCTTACAAGCTGATATGAAGATGCACAAAACATGATGAACAAATTGTTAGAGTTAAAAAATAAGGAAGAAGGTTGGATAATTTATACAAGGATCGATCTATTTGATAATTAACTTATTGGACTGTTCTGGATGTCTCTCCTTTAACACCAATGTCTTCTGCAATATAATGATGTAGTTCAAATAGACAATATGTGTTGTACTAATCTTTTGGTCATTGTGGACAATAATACAAAAAGTTGATTAGTTGCTCAGTGTTTGTCTGAGGATGAAACAGTCCAAAGCTATGTATGGTTTTTTGAGTGCATCCTTCAAGTAACCAATAATGTACCACTGATTTGTTTGTTATCAGATGCTGACTCTGCATTAATAAATATGATGGCATCAAAAATGCCTAGTACCTATCATTTTCTTTGTATATTCCATATACAAGAAAATTTAAGAAAGAATTTACACAGTAAATTAGAAAAAAATTGAGATATTTTACTAGAAGTTTTTGTATATAAGAAATAGTTTGTTTGAGAATGACTTTCATCAGTGATAGGCATAATTAATTAACAAATTTCTTAAGTCACAAGAGTATCTTAATCACAATTTATATTCAAATTATCAGGCATGAGCCAAATGCTTTCAAATTAATGTTTTCACAGCAGGAATGCAAAGCATGCAAAGAGTTGAAGTGATAAACAGATTAATGAAAGAAGGAACAAAAATAGCACATCCTCACTATGCACATTGCATAATCACATTCAAAATTTACTAGATAATGAAGCCCAATGGGCCTGACATAATAATTATCTCCAAAGTCTTTTAATAAATAATGCACCTTCAATTATAGAACTGATTTTTTTTAAGGTTTTTGATTTAATAAAGAAATATTTGACTTCTTACATTCTATTTGTTCAGTAGCAACAAATTCTCAGGATTTTATTATAACATTTAATGCTAGTTTTTAAAGATGCAATAAAGAATGCACAGGTATGTTTATTGTTTTGATCAATGAACTTATTTAATTAATAATATTAATATAACTAACTAGCTTAATTTTACTAATTACTATTATTTAAAATAGATTAAAAGATTGTTATAGTACTTACTACAAGTATAATATTTTATTGTTATAATATTTAGAATGATAATGACATTGATTATAGTAAGGGATTTCTTGAAGACCAACTTGACAGACCACAGGTGACCTTATTTTATTTAATAGATAGTTGATGTCATTGAGATATAGGAATTAATCAGACTTACAAAGGCATACAAACATTATGTTGTTTTACTGGTTGATGGAGGCTACTTATATACTTGTTTGGCAGTTATTAATTATAGTATTATGTATTCATATTTTTTTCACATAATGATAAATTCAAAAACTGCAAAATTCAATATCTATCTAATTTCAAAGTGATGGTACATAGAAACTTTTCAGGATAATGTTTATTCAAACTTGTAAGATGAATTAGTGAAAGTAATCACACAATTTCAGCAAATTGATAATAATGACTGTATTATAAATAATTTTCATATTTTTAATTAGATTAAAGCACCACATGTATTCACTGCTGAAGTACAACAATGTGTTCAAAGAAAAGCTAAATATTCACATAGCTTCAGAAAAATTAAGAAGGCACTTAATATGACTTTTGATTTGAAGTGTGAAGATGAATTCATTAATTTGATTGATAAATTTATTGATTATAAGAAAAGCAGTATTGAAAGTGCAAATAAAGAAAATATGCAGGTGCAAATATCAGATTCCATAGTTATTAAGCATTGTGGATGTCCATTAAACAAACGAATCAAAGCATTATCAGAAAGCAAGATACAACATGATAGAACTAACAATAGTGCACTTAATTTATCTGATCCTAATTTATACATATAATCAACTGAATAATCAAATAATGCAACTGTATCAAAAGTTCTCTTAGAACTTATAAATGTTAAAGAGTTGTATAAGATGAATAAAGACCTTTCAACTAAATTTTCAATAATACAAACAAATGATAATGAAAGCAAGCACAAATATATCTGTCAAGCATGTGATGAATCTGGGCACAATTCTAGAAGCTGTAATAAGTGCTAATTAGCTTGCCTTTTGTTTATTATTTATGCAAATTGATCTATATGTCTTGCATTGTAACTTGCTTTTTTTATTTTTTTTTTGAAAAACACATTTAAGCATGCTTTTTATTTATATATTACAACAGTACTATATTTATATTAGAGATTTAATATGTTTAAGAATAGTATTAATTTTTTTGTTTTTTTATAAGGGGCTGTTTATAGGCTAATTTATGAAGCAAGTTAACTTCATAATTGAGCCTAGTTTTAACTATATCTGCTATTAATTGTATTGGGATTATTCTGTCTCCCCATCTAGCTTGAGTGTACCAACACCAGATTTCATAGATAGTAGAAATATGTAGCTATAAGGCAGTTTTATATTTTTTTATATTATTTATGTTTGTTGCCTGTAGAATGTTTTCAAGCGAAGAAGGTAGTTGTATCTCTTCTGGAAAGTTGAGAAATTTGTATGTGGTTTCTCAGATTGTTTTGCTTAGTAGACATTTTAGTATAAAATGTTCAATAGTTTAAAAGACCATAGAACAGTTTGGGCAGTCTCCTAAATTGTTATGAGCAATGTGCTTAAGCTGGTAGCCAAGAGGCAAAGCATAATGAGCAATTCACCAAAAAATATCTTTTTTCTTGTTTAGGATTTCGGGAATAGTAAGCCAGCTTGGTGGTGAGGTCATGCCTTCACTGTTTGGAGTGCTATTTGGCTGCAAAGTAGACTGTTCATAGAGACTTTTAATTGCTTTTTTAACTGTAAATTCAGCTCCATCCATATTACTTATTTTGATAGAAGATGTTTTCTATGGCCAATTTGTGTTTGCATCGATTTTGCCTTTGAATTTACACCATGCTATAACATAGGGTTTCCATCTATCTGGCCAACTTTTAGTTCTGCAAAGAGTTTGCTAAAGTGCTTCATGAACTTGAATATTTCATTTGTTTGAGAGTTTGATGGATATTAGTCTTCTTTCTGTTCTGGCCCAAAAGATGTGGCTTGATAATAGCTTAATCCAGATTGATAGGAGTCTGGCATCTAATATGTCTTTTAGTACTGGGGCTGCAAGACCTCCTTGTTCATAGCTCCTTTGAAATGTTTAGTATTGTGAAAGCATTTTTGAATTATTTTTGATCCAGCCTTTTATTAAATTATTAATTTCTCCTAGCTGTTTTTTTGATAGTGGTAGAAGATATGCTGAGTACCATATTTTGGATATGATTAATGTTTTGGCTGCAAGAATTTTTCCTTTAAAGGATAGATTTCTTCTTGATAGATCTTGAATTTTAGATTTAATTTTCTTAGTTAAGTTGCCTCATAGAGATTTATCTGAATTTCCATATATATCTGTAGTATAACCTAGAATAGTAATTGTCTCTTGGCTGTTATTTATTAGTTTAAAGTTTAATTGCCCATTGAGTTTAGTTCTATGAGCATTTTCTGTAATTGGTATAAGAATTGATTTTGTTTTGTTGATTTTTGCATTGGAGGCTTTTTCATAGCAAAGAAGAATTTCTTGTAACTTGGACCAGTCAGAAGGGGAGCCAATGCCAATTGAAAGATCATCTGCATAGGTGGTAATTTTAAATTTCTTATTGTTAACTGGTATGCCTTTGATATTTTGTTCAATTGCTTGTATTAGTGAATTAATTGCAAGCACATATAATAATAGAGAGAGAGGGTCTCCTTGTCTGACTTCTTACTCCACTCTAAATGGCTCAGAAATAAGACTGGAATCTACAATATATGCTTTTTGAGTGCTGAATAGGGCCCTTACTATGTTGATAAATTTGTTACTAAAGTTCATTTTTTCAAGAACAAGTTGAATAAAGGTATAGTTGACCCTGTCAAAAGCTTTTTGTTGATCTAGTAGTAGCATCCAGTATTGTTTAGACTAGTTATTTTGATTTCTAAGAGTTGTAATTATGTCAAGTGCTATGTCTGCTATTGACCTGTAAGCAATAAAGGCTTGTTGAGATGGTCCAATAATGTCATTACAGATAGGGTTGATTCAGTTGGCTAAAATTTTCATAAAGATTTTTGCATCTGAGTTGACAAGTGAGATTGGCCTCCAGTTGTTTATATTGGTTAGATCATCTGATTTCTTAGGAATTAGAGTAATTATACTTTTGCTCCAGAAAGTTGGAATTTTGCCATTGTCTATTATGCTATTAAAAAGCTTGGCTAAGGTTGACAGTATGAGCTCTTTAGTATCTTTGTAAAATTCATAAGTGAGACTGTCTGAGTCTGATGCTTTGTTGTTTGGTAATTTATCAATTACTGATCTTATTTCTTTCTTTATTATTGATTTAGTCAATAGTTGGTTATGTTCTGATGAAACTTATGTTAGGTTATTGGTAAGTTGGTTTATGGCTTCTTTGTTGACTTCTTCTGTTTTATAAATTTCCTGATATGTTTCTTTGTACTTGTTCTCGTGAGATGTTATTTGAACTATTTGGTATTTGTATTTTACTGCTACAGGCCGTAGAGTGTTTTGATTTGTATAGAGAAAAAAATATTTAGTGGATTTCTCACATTCTTCGATCCATTTAGTATTTGATCTGATTTGCCATTTTTCTGATAAACTGCTAATCTCTTCTTGTAAATTTAAGTTTAAGTCTTCTGCTATTAATTTGAGCTCTTCCAGATTGGGGTTTTTGGTCACTTTATTGTTTATATTGCATAATTTTTTATGAATTCTTTGGATGTTTCTCTCAGGAGGAGGTGAAGGTCTATAGGCTCTGATTATTGACTGTACTATGCACTTGTGTAAATCCCAGTTAGAGGTATCTTTAGTTTCTTGGAGTTTATTAAGAATGTCTGTCTTGATTTCTGGAATTTTCCAGTATTTTTTGCTAAATTTTCAAGAGGATTTATGGTTACAGGAGGTTTTAAAACTAAGTTTACTTTCAACTAGAAGATGGTCTGAGTTGCCAAAGTGAGTGCAGGTGTTTTGGCAAAGGTGACTATAATTAGAGTCTA